ATAACCTGTACTAAGTAGATAAAAATTATATAACAATAGCAACATTGCATATCTCTACTATAAAGCTTTGCTTTAACCTTTGTGTTTTTCTCTTTGAACTATATTAATACTAGAAGTTATGGCCAAACCTTCTAATTCATATCTCAAGCCAGATGCTACCACCATCTGAGAACCTATATTTCAAGCCACCTGCTGCTGCTATTAGAAGTATCTTAATTATTAGCTCTAGGCCAAACTAGTAGTATCATATTCAAATTAGGCTAAATATATAGTTGCTATCTACTATGTTAACTGGAAAAGGAAACTGGTAAACAATGTTAATCTTTGGGTGGGGGTAAGCTGTTTTGCCTACTTTTCTTTAAAAATTTTATTGCCTAGATATGTAGACAAGTCAAAAAAAATTTTCTTAAGTAAGAAGTGACTAAACAGGTAGTAGTTACTTGTTATAAACTGTTTTTTTTAGACGAACTCTTCTTTTTGGTGAGTAATAAACTCTGAGCCTGTTGGAAAGTAGCATATAATAACTATTTCTAAACAACAGATGCCATTCTAGCAGTAAGTAATAAACTCTAAACCTGTTAGCAGATAGTGTATAAGAACTATCTCTAAACAACAAATACTAATTTATAGTTTTATTCTAACTCGAGACACTTCCTATGACCTCTTTACTGTGTTTTTGAATTCGAAAATTTTCTGAAAAATTTTGATACGAGAAATTATCAGAAAGAGTTTTTTAATTATATATTATTATTATTATTATTATTTTTTTTTTTTTTTTTTTTTTTTTGGTATTAAGATTATTATTATTATTATTATTATTATTATTGTTATCTTATTTTTTTTCTTTAGTTGTATTTACTCCAAAATGCTCATATAGATAGTTTGCAATTTCTGGTTTATTATCAGAGATTACTATCACTTCTTGGCTATTATTATTATTATTATTATTATTATTATTATTATTATTATTATTGTTATTATTGTTATTATTGCTATTATTGCTAGCTCAAAGAAAAGTTTAATGAAAATAAATATTAGTATTGCTATATACTCTTATCATTATAAAGAAAAAGTTAGAAGAAAAAACTTAATAGAAACAAAAATATATACCCTAGATTGTACTATTTAATTCTCTGATTATTATGATCAACATGTAGAAAAATTCACTAATTTTATTGAACTAATATAACAGAATAATTGATTTTTAAAAAAAGTGCAATTTTAAAAATTGATATACATATATCTATAGTTTAGTAGTTAAGCTATAGAGCTTTGCAGGGCTGTATATTTGAAACCACTAGTAGCTTATTATACTTAGTATACTGTAGTGATATTACTGAACTATACCCAATAATATTATACCAAGTTTTTTTTATTTTTTTGTCTAACAATAATTTATTTGCTTATTTATTTATAGTTATTTATATTTCATTTATAGTTTTTTTTTTTTTTAGTATTAAGGTGACCTTTATAGCCAGAGCTTTTTATTAGATAATTAATAATATTTACAATTATAATAAGGATACAACTAGCCATACATACAACTTTTAGTTATCTATTTTAAGTAGTTTGCCTGAGTTCTATACTAGCCACTATATCTGCAATCTAATTAGGAGATTATCTATTTAAGCTCTCTAGCTTTTACAAGTAAGAGTATGACTAGCTATACCTGCAACTTTTAGTTATCTATTTAAGTAGTCTGCTCAAAGTTCCATACTAGCTACCATATCTGCAACCCAACTAGTAAATTATCTATTTAAACTCTCTGGTTACAACTGGCCTATCATTCCTTATTTAACCAAGGTATAACTCACTATTCATATGCTAGATTTTGCAACACCTATAGATTTCACACCCTACTTAAAACTACTTTATCTTCAAGGTAAATCTAACAAAGTATTACATGTCTTACATATATAGGTGTGAGTCAGTAGAAACACACTATATTTTTTCTAAGTAATTTTTTTTTAAAATTTAAACAAGAATAACTCAACAACAGCTTAATCAAATTTAATAAAATTTTTTTTAAACCAATTCTAAAAAGTTATAGAATTTATTTTAAAAAAAAATTTTACCAAATTTGATTAAGTTTTTGCTGAGTTATTTTTGTTTAAAGATTCAAAAAAATTTTATTAAAAAAATATGGTGCATTTCTACTGACTCACCCCCATATATTCATATATGTTATGTTACTGCTATCAAGTTTGTATCTTAAGCTATCTTTTAGGATATTGCTATAACCTGATCCTTATCTTAAACAACAATCTTTCTATTTTAGTAGTTGTTATATACTCTTTGCCCTTATATTTGGGTTCACACAACCCCAGCATCCATATTTGATCTTTTCTTCTTTTTCAAATTCTTTATGGCGGCATACACAATTTATGTTAAGCCAGTATTGTCATAGGGATCTTAAAGATAATACAAACATAATACTATATAGCATTCCCTATTTTTATATAATACAATATACAATACAATAATAGTTTAACGTAAATTGTGTATGCCACCAATTCAAAATAATTCGAATAGTTTCGAAAAATATAAAATTTATAATAATGAATTAAAATTATAGGAGCTTCAAAATTATCTTTAAAATAAGTATTTCAATTTTTGCTTTTCATTTCTACCCAGAAATCAGGTTCATTTTCTTTGTGATATTCTGCTATAGCTTGCCATAATTCAGTTTTAGTAGAATAAATATTATACTCAATTAGGCTTTTGGCAATTTTTTTTACATTATGCTTAGTGTTGGGCAAATTAGTGATCGACCAAAAATTTACTGGTCAAATTGGTCAGGTCAAATTGGTCAAATGGTCGAACTGGTCAAATTGGTTAAATCTATTATATAAATATAATATATATATTATATAATAAAATTATATTTAAATATACTATATAACCAATTTGATCAGCACAGATTCTTTGACCAGACTGGTCAAATTGGTCAAATTGGTCTGGTCCAATGGACAAACTGGTCTGGTCAAGCCAACACTGGTCTAGATATATCATCTTAATATAAAAGAGATATAGAATATTTTAATCATCTAGGGAAAATTTTAAACAATTCAAATACACTTGGTATTTTTATAAATTATTTACTTAAATTTGACTTTTCAGATTGAATACTCCCAATACAAAAATAAGAATAGAAACAATATGCAATCAATTACCTAATCTTATTCAGTTTATAATAAAGCATATTTCCTTATAGCCTATAGAAAAAATTGATAAACTATACTGTACAAATTTATATCAAGAATATTTTACCTGGTGTAAAAAAAAAAAACAGAGAAAAACCATTTGCTAGTGCTATTCTTAAAAAAAAACTTTCACAAATTGGTATTAATAGAATACGTTTGCAAAGTAGTAAAAAAAAAGATTATTATTATAATCTTAACTATTCCAAAATCATAGCCAAGCTCTGTAAATTCAGTTTAGGTGATATCAAAGAATTTTCTGATATACTTCAAAATAAGTTACCCACCAATAAGGCCACAGACACACCCATATTCAATGCACCAAAAATTAGTTCTTCCAAGATAGCCCCTTCTTAACCAGAAAAGAATTCAGATAAACAAAATAAATCAATCCAAGCTCTCTTCGATTATGTGGCAAAACCAGTTGCCTAAATATCTGAAACTTTCAAAACTTCTAAGACTTCTGAACTATCTGAACTAGTAATTAATAAACCTGAAACTAACTCAAAAGGAAATAAGTCACCCAATCCACCTGGATTTATTAAACCTACTAATAAAGTTTCATCTTTCAAGAGCTCAGCAAGAGGAGTGCCTTAGAAAAAGGGCAAATGAACTTGGTAAGAATTCAGATAAATTTGTTACTATAACTAAGAAAGATAAACTCAATTCCATAGCATTCTATAATAAAATAGAAACTAATTTACAAATATGTGCTTGGGCTGTAGAATTAGAGGATGATTCTAACCAGCATATAGATATGACAATATGAAAAAGATTGATAGAAGAAGAAATCATCTGTTGTGAGCTTGAGGATGATAGAGTCACAACCTCGTGGCTTGATATTAATAAAAAATAAAAAAAAACAATAAGCATACTTTAGAAGAACAGTATGCTTTAGTAAAGAGCAGATAGAAGCAAGTTAATAGATATTGGTAAGGATAGGCTTTTTTGTTCTTTACAACTAGGCTATATAAAATTTAAAAATATTTATTTTAAAAAAAACTTCGCTATCTGATATTCTGAAATCTATGATTAAGATTATTTTTTTTTTTGTTTATTATATTAGATTCAAATGTTTAGTTTGAATAAGTGCAAGCTTTTAATAGCAAGAGATCTAGATTTAATATTTAGATATGATTGGTTTTTGCACTATGTTGGGTTTGTTTAACTGTAAATTTAGTTTATGTACTAGTATTGTGTAAATTTTCTAAAAAGCTTGATTTTATTAATAATAAATATTGTAATTATCTACTTTATACATATTTTTCTATTCTCTAAATACTGTATATGTGATAAAATATTGTGTATATTTATTATTTGTAAGTTTTTTTATATGGAGTTGTCTTTCGTTTTCTAGTATATATAGTATTAAGGCAACAGATTTTTAAAATTATATAATTTGATTGGTTAATCATCACGGGTAAATCTACAAAAATTATCCAATCAGACAAATTTCTTCCTTTGAGGAATTTCAAATTAGAAAAAGGCCTTTAATATTCGAAATCAGAAAATTTTAACGCTTTTAAATGCAAAATAATAAACGTTTCAAGACAATTTTGTATTCGATTCAAGAGAATCAGTATATTATATGTTTAATTAACTTCCTTGTAAATTATCGTTATGTCATCTAGTTAAGTGATCTTCAATCCGAGTAGCCCGTATAAGAATTCTAAATTGGGCTACCCGATCCTGAATTGATTCTGAATTAGGCGGATTCCCATCCGGGGTACAATATATATATATATGTAGCCAAAGAATTTCTCCAAATTCTCTTACACATCGATCCTTTTGATTTTCAAAATGACACTAATTCATACGAACATAAATGAATTACCTCAGGTATGAATTAATATTTTACTCAACGATTAAATAACTTTGAAAAGTTAGACCGAATTAACATATTTTAGATCGTCCAAGAACTTCGAAAATCTTTCCGTTCTAACTTAACGGAGCCTTTAAGCTATAGAAAAAAGCAATTAAGAAATTTGTATCGTATGTTTGATGAAAATGAGCAAGCAATTTATGATGCTTTGTACAAAGACCTTCTAAACAAAAACATGAGGCTTTCGCGGGTGAAATAGGTTGGGTTAAGCAAGAAACTTTAGATACAATTTCGAACCTCAAAAGCTGGGCTGAGCCAGATTATG